TATATACACACACATTGGGTAAAGTAGGAAGTGATGTGACATATTTGGGATTTGGAGTTTTTACAGACTTCTCTTGTCACAACTCTATGGTCTCTGTCAGATATAATAATGTTCTTGACTAGGAGTTGCTCACTGCTTTCCTCCCCACATGCACACAGCACCATACAACCTGGATGTCGTACCTGACCATGACCTGTGTCTACACCTATATTCTCAGCTTTGGCATGGGACCAGGTAAGTCTTTTACCGGGATTTACATGCGACAGGTTCAAAATGTTTCAGTACTCAAACATACATTTGAAACAAAATGTCATCGTGTTTTACTATCTACACATATTACTTATTTAGATCAACATATTTACTACATTTTATCAGTTTTCAGCATCTTACTTGGTTGGCTACTCCTTTGTTCATCTCCACAACTAAAGTAAAATGACTACGCACTGTATCACTTTAAACTCTGATACACTACAGAGTACTGCAGGAGTGTGTAAAAGTGTGATACAGTGGTTATATTGATATGTTATATTGATATATCTAACCAGTACAGTTTTGGTTTTTTTTGTTTTTTCTCAGCTGGAGTGACTGGCATTCTTCCCACAGAGATCTTCAATCAGGCGGCTCGGCCGGCAGCCTACATGATTGCTGGCTCCATGATGTGGCTCAACCTGTTCGTCGTTGGAATGATCTTCCCATTTTTAGTAGTCAGTCTGTTGCTACATCCACACTTTAGTCAGCGTCTGTCCATCTGTCCATGCATCCATCCAATTAGCAAACCTGCAGTGAGGAGAAATAAGCACAAGAATGGTGTTCATGTGCCAATAATATTATTACTAAGACAAGACTGGGGCACTGTATAAAGCGCTTTTCATGTTACCATGTTATTTATTAGTGGAGATGTCTAGATGGTACAAAGATAGGTTAGTTTTCAGTGTGGTGTTTGATATTTACTTGTCTCTCTGAATAGGGTCCCAGCTCTACCACTACAGAAAACAGAAAAGAAAATAAAAGCCATTGGGTCACATGGGTTTAGTCCATGTCGGAAAACCAAGATGCCAAATGAGACAGTAGCACTCCTCCAACATTACAATTATATACCATTTGTGTTAAAATGCTGACTATTAGATAGCTTACCATCTTAATATTGGAGCTGGTAAGAACACAAATTTAGGAGCAGCATTTTTGGAGTTCAACCCACAATAGGGACTAACAGTCATGATGCATCAGTATATCAATATACAGGCCCTATAAGTGATGTACAAAAGAATCCTCTTTTAATATTTCTTTTAGTATATGGCTTAAAAAATGTATAACTGCAAAATATCAAAATACAGCTTTCTAAGTGGATGGGTGTGAAAACTCATCCTCATCCTACTCCCACTACTCACTACTCCAGGGGTCTCAAAGTCCAGGCCTCGAGGGCCGGTGTCCTGCAGTTTGTAGATCTCACCCTGGGTCAACACACCTGAATCAAGTGATTAGTTCATTACCAGGGCTCTGGAGAACTTCAAGACATGTTGAGGAGGTCATTTATTCATTTACATCAGTTGTGTTGGATCAAGGACACATCTAAAACCTGGGGTGGCTGTAGCTCAGGTGGCAGAGCAGGTCAGCCACTGACCAGAAGGTCGGTGGTTCGATCCCGGGCTGCCTCCTGGCTGCATGACAAATATCCTTGGGCAAGATACTAACCCCGTGTTTGCCTACTGGTCGTGGTCAGAGGGCCTGGTGGCACCAGTGTCTGGCAGCCTCGCCTCTGTCAGTGCACCCCAGGGCAGCTGTGGCTACAATGTAGCTTGCCGTCACCAGTGTGTGAAGGACTGAATGTAGTGTAAAGCGCTTTGGGGTCCTTAAGGACTGATTAAAGCGCTATACAAATGCAGGCCATTTACCATTTTACCATTTAAAACCTGCAGGACTCCGGCCCTTGAGGCCTGGAGTTAAACACTCCTGACATAAGTGATTTGATGCCCTTCCTGATGTTGCCCCCTCTATTTTTTTTAAATAGTGAATGTACTTAGCTAAATACAGCTTGTTTCTCCCAATGATAACTTGAATACACAGAATTTTTAATGTAGTGTTTGATAAACGAATGACTGATAACATTTTATTTTCCCTTCACAGAGCGGGCTGCGTGAGTACTGCTTTGTGCCTTTTGCAGCGATCTGCCTGTTGTCTGCACTGTATGTTGGCCTTTTTCTGCCTGAGACCAAGGGGAAGTCTCTGTCAGTCATCATGCGTGAATTTCACAGGCTCAATTTCAAAGGCCAGGAAAACCATTTTGAAGCTCAAACCAAACTTCAGTATCAGCTGGGCGAAGTGTGTCTTTCCACAGCCTTGTAGACAGACTTTTTCTCCAGAAACATGCAGTCACACCCAGCGCATGCCTTACTTTGACCTGATCTGCATCAGCGGGAAGAAGTTTTGTGGTTTGGGAGCCGCTTTTCATATCTTTGAAAAACATTATCTGAAATGTTTTTCCTGTGAGGAAAATGGCAATTAAAAGAATTTATCTTTGACTTTTTCACATTATGCTTTATGTCACTGATTGATGTGAGACAACAAGTCATTGAAACTACTTTATATTAAGTGTACTGTAATAAGGTATAAATCATCTTTTCCACAGAAAGTCATATTTTTGTTATTAGACAGAGCTGGATACCTGACCTGATTCAGCAAATTAAAAAAATGCATTTTTATGATGTTTTGTTCTTTTATTATTATTAATAAATAACAACAGTCTATACGTTGAACTTTGTTAAAGACTGCACAACACTTTATATTAAAGTGGCTCTCTTCAGAGACTAAAACGTGAGGCTGAAGATTAATGTCCAGTCTTAAATCAGAGCACAAAAGCAAAAAAACAAGAAATAAAGGCTATTCCAACTGACTTCCTGCTGATTTGAGTGTAATCTTACACACATTTTCACCAAAATGTTGCCAGAAATAGCTCTTAGATGGGATCTTTGCCATGCTGGTCAACATTGTGATCTATAACCATATTGAAAGATAGAGACATGAGCAAGGCAAGGACAGCAAAGTTTACCTGTCTAATGCTTTTCAACAACACAGTAGTTTAGAGCCTAACATGGTCCCTCTATGCTCTCCTATCAGTCTGCTCTTTCTCTACACACTTCCCAAGATCTTGGTTCTGAAATCATTACTACAGAATGATGGCAGCTTGTTTACAGCCGTGGTTTCCAAACCCATTCTTTCATCCACAATAAACTGATGCCAGTCCAGCATGACAATGTTTAACAATCATCACTATCATTTAAAAAAGGATCCAAGACAAACCTTGCTGAAATAAGGATCAGCATTAGCACAAACAAACTCTCATAGATCACGTTGACCCTGTAGTTTCACTACATATTTTATCCTCAGTCTAATGTTTTTATTTTCCAACACTGTTTTCTGCATATACTCTATTGCATTTGTAGGCTGGATTGTCTTAATTAGCTACTGTAAACTTAACACTGGGGGAAAATAAATATTAAAGTAAACACATATGAAACCACTGATCACAACACATTTACAGCTCCGAGCTCGGACTGAAGTGGACTAAAGTTTGTGTTCGGGATAGACAATGTTTTGTTCTACTGTACACAGTCCAGTGTTATTATACTCAATAAAGAAACATAAATAATTTGAATAACAACAACAACAACAATAATCATCATCATAATACATTTATTACAGCAGCTGGTTATCGCGCACAGAAGACATGAGCAGCAAGTATACTTTTATTTATTTTTTGATTTGTATGCGATGATTTATTTAACAAGATATGTGGTGACTGTTAATTGAAGCACAGTTTAAAGATCTACTAATTTATTGCTGAGATTTCATGACGTTCAGAGAACTGTGAAGCACATATTTTAAAAAGGAGCAACATATTTTAAAGTTCGGTTCAGCAGTGACTTAACACTTTCATGCATGAATTATGACAACCTTGATCAGGATTTTTCTTAAGTATTTTTATTCATCTTTAGGCATTAAAAAAAGATTTTTGAACTTCATTTTTTGAAACATGTACTTTTAGTTTTTTACATGTCCACTTAGGTGGACAACATACCTTTTGACTGGGTGGCAGGGTATGGAGTGACACATCAGTGTCCAATGTAGTGGTTTATGTGCAAGTACACCATCAGCACTGACACAAAAATAAGATTTTGCAAGAAAACAGCCATTGAAGAGCTGTCCAGTGTAGTGACCACTATGTGTGAAAGGGTTAAATATACTGATGCTCAAGCTGTTCAAGCTCTCAAGATCATGCATACCCATAAGGCCACTCAGCTAAACACTGACATCTTTCAAACCTTTCAGGTTTGCTTCCGTTTCATTGGTGTATCAGTAAATTTTATCTTCATCGGGCTGTCAATGAAAACATTTTGGAGACAGAAACATCAACACAAAAAAACAAGAAAAAGTTACAAGAATAACAAAAACACATCAGTTAAATCTTTTAAACGTGTAACGAGGGACTCCGTTTGCAGTAACATAACACACCCATGCTGCACACACAGTCAATAATGGTGTTCTTTTTATCTGTGTATCAGAGCCGCATGACCTTAGCTCATTGTACTTTCTCATGTTTTTCTGTGTGCGTCACAGATTAAAAACTAATTTCTAACCAGAAAACAGACTATACTGGCACAGCTGCAGTGATAGCAACTATGGGAATGTCATGTGCTATGAAATTAACGTGTTTTATGAAACATGATTGATACAATCTCAAGGTCACAGAGTGTATAAATGTGAGTAAACTGGACTTTGTTGCTTTATCTATCTATTCTAGCTCACTGTAAACCTATACAAATGCATTTAAGGACAAGATTTTACTATTAAATTAAAAAACGATATGAAACATCCACTGCAGACCTGCAGTATCCTGCCAACAGATCAGAAGCGTTAATTTCTGTGAATGAGCTTTGTATAAAGAAATCAGCAAAACAGCATTGTCACATATTATTGGATTTTACTTTGATTTTAATAATTTGAGCACAATAAAGATTAAAAATTAGGTAAATAAAGACTGCATTACAGGCTGCATCTATTCAAAATTCACCCAAAAAAAAATACATTACATTTTGCAAATTGATTAAGAAAACAGAAAATAGCAGAACATGCTGCAAAATCAAAGCATCTGTAATTGCAAAAACGTACACACAGTACAAATTGTTTTTGAAAGCTATTCTTAAATACAGTGTTTGAGTAAAAGTACAACATTTGTAAAAACATGCCGCAGAACGCCTTTGGCTAGTTTTATGTTGAACTTCAAAAAATATTATGACATTTTAGTTTCATGTCTGTATCTACTAAATAAGGCACAGCTGTAACAGCAGCAGGGAGTGACTCTTTGGCAACATGTACGTGTTTTTATTAATCACTGCAAAGCTTAAAGCATGCTTAGAATATGGGAGTCATTCATAATGATTAAATACAATTTATGGACATCTTCATTGCATGCCTGATGTCACTTTGCATGTCAGCTGCAGTACTGGAGACTTTACCTGCTGTCACTGGTGCTGGGAATTGAGGGATGTTTTCAATATGGCATCCAATTGTCTCTCGTCGCTTCTCCGGAAGTGGTAAGATGCCTGTTAGTTACGCAGTGTACATATAAAATATGTTCACACTCAGTATTATTGTATATCTCACTGTAATGAAGTTTGCTATGGTTAAAGATTATGTCCTCACAGTAGTGCTCTATTAAAGTCTTCACCAGCCAGTAAACTCTTCAAACTTTTTGTCCCGACATTTGATGGCACATAAAAGTTATTTGCCTCCAATGTGATATTCAAGAGCCTGTGATTTGCTGATTTCTAGTCCCTGTTGACTGTAATTTACAATAACAGTAGTGATATTACTTACTCGCCATGCAGTTTGCTTTTAGCATCGGATTCTCATGAAACACGAAAGCCAGAAAGGAGAAAGAAGAAACATTTAAAAAGTGTTGCTGGTTAAGAGAATGTCACATAAGACTTTTTTAAAACTTATCTTATTTGTATACTAAATCATTTTTTAGCTGAAATTTTTCAGAAAAACATGAGATTAAAAAAATGAAAAACAACACAAAGAAGCTTTTATTCAACAATCCATCCATCACCCATTTTTCTATTTACTTCACCACTTAATTGTTTGTGCATATGCAAGGAGCTGTTGGAAAACCTAAATGTGGTAAACATAAATATTCAAAGAAAGGGGGAAAAAATCAAAGTATAAAGCTGGTACCTACATTTCCATTAGTTCTTTTTTTTTTTGTGCGCACCAATAATTTATTGCACATGGGATAAATGTTTCCTAAACCCATGATGATGTGCATATAATTGATATTGCATAGACTTTGTTTCTAAATAACAACTGAACTGACCCCATTATAAAAGATATAAGACTAAAAATATCACCCAATGGGTTGATAACATATGTCAATATTAAAATGTGAAAATAAGAACAACCAAATTACAGATTGTCCAAATTGTTGTCTTTAAATTGCCTATTTTGTCAAGTTTGGCTGCTAAAGTTTGTCTATTTAACCTCGCTGACTTTTCTGCAGCACATTCAGAGTTTTGTGAACTACACATGGATGGTGAGGTACAAAACTCCAATCGACAAATCTACCAACCAGCTCATCTGGTCCTTCTTCGTGGCTGTTTTAAGTGTGGGATGCTGGGCTGGGGCTGTTCACAGTGGAAGCCTTCCTGTCACCTATGGCCGGTAATTGCATAAGCATTTGTTGTTTATTAACAGCAGGCACTGCCTTTCAGACACTCTGATCTCTCAGATATTAACAGGAGCCTGGAAAAGGCAAAAAACAGCAGGTCTGGCTCTGTGAAGCTGCAAACAAGCCATCGTGTCAGGCACAAATTCAATCTCTGTAAAACTTCAAAATTAGTTTCAGATTTTTCAACATTTTTGTGCAACCTATAAAAAATTGTATTAATAAATCACCAGTGCTATCCACTTCTAGCATCTCTGGACAAGTGCATTTAAAAAAAAAAGATTAAATCCAAGATTATTCTTTGAACTGTCAGGCACCTCACAGCTCATGGTCTTCAGTCGCACAGCAAAGTCTTTTGAGATGATCTTGCTGGGAAGATTTCTCTATGGATATAATAATGGTTTGTTATGTCTATTTTTCATTTGATTACAATGCAGTTTTTCTTCCTCTTCGTTCTTCATATGGTCTTTGTCCACAGGTCTCGGTCTGTGCGTACACCTCATGTATCTCTGTGAGAGCTCTCCACAGAAACTCAGGGGTTTCTTGACTCTGACGAGCTCAATCTTCATTGGCTTGGGGAAAGTCGTGGGTCAGATAATTGGCATCAAGTAAGAACTGACTGCTTGAACATGAAAGCAGAAGTTGACTAATAACTTTCACTACAATACAAATGATATTCATGTCAAATGGAGCAGAAAACCAATCTTTTACTCACTCACTCATTAAGAAGGCCACTTGTAGGTAGAGACATTTCTCTGGCACTTGCCCAGTTAGTTGTTATCTACCATAATCAATGACTTGTTCCAAATTAAAGTACAACACTTTCTGAAGCTTGAGGCACACGTCACATTTGAGACCTGGATAATATATTAGGCCAGGGATGTCAAACTCGTTTAACACTGAGGGCCTCATACAGCCCACTTTGATTTTATGTGTGTTGGACCAGTGAAACTCTGTGTCAATGTAAAGAAGATTAAATACATATTTAAAAAAATAAAACAACAAAGAAGAGCAATTTCAACTGAAACATGTTATTGAAGTACACACTATCTGCATGGCTTAAATTGTCAGAAGTACATGTGTAAATTTACAGGAGTCTATAATTTGGTGATAGAGGATGTCTTTATCAGCAGGGAAAGCTGTAAAACTTATAAAAAATACAGTGAAAAGTCCAAGATTTATGTCCTCCTTCACATTTTCCAAAGCCATCCAATGCACCACATTGAAATCTTGGCTATTTTTATACTCCTCCATTATGTAAAATGCAAAAATGAACTGATACTGCCACTGTAAAGAAACAATTGTTTTCATTCGTCAGAACTTTTAATGTTGTAACTGACCACACTAGTAAACCTCAGTAAAGATCTATTCATTGGCAGACTGATGGAACAGACTTTGGATGTAATCCTTGTGGTATTTCTGTGTCCAACAGCTTTACAGTGGCTGTGGCAGGAGGACAACTTAAAGATGGAGTTGGACGACATGCAGCTGGAGCGGGAGAGGTCTCAGGGAGAAAAGGCAAAGACTGTAAAGGATCTGCTCACCTCTCGCTGTGTGCGATGGCAACTGCTGACTCTAGCCATCCCTTGTGCTCGCCTTCAGTTTTGCGGCATCAATGCTGTATGCTTATGTTTCTCTGCCGATATGACAGTTATCAACTTAAATCTGTTCGAAATCGCAGTTTCTAGTTCCCTTTCATCTGTCATCCTCTTGTTCAGCTGTGCTTCTACGCCTTTGACATCTTCCGTGAGTCTGGAGTGCCAGAGGACAAGATGCATTACTTGGCCATTGATATTGGAGCAACAGAGCTCATCGCTATAACGTTGTGTGTAAGTAAAGTTGCATAAATTAGACTTTACATCTAAAAAGCTCTTGGTTATTGGGTGATTCTAAAAATGTCTTTTTAGTTTTACTTCTTGGGCACGATTCTGCACATTTTATCATTTACATAAATAATACAGAAGTAAAGACTGGGAAAGAGGAAAGAACATGCTCGATACGAAGATTTCATAAAAAATAATCAAACATGAAGAACATTGTTATCAGTTTTTGCTTATTTGCTGTGCATCAGTCCTTCTTGATCGATCGTGCTGGCAGAAAGAAACTTATGGGCTATGGCTATCTACTGATGGGTATCACCATGTGTGTTCTTACCGTCATGTTGTCAATCAAGGTAAATACATTCAGCACATTTCCTCTTCTTCTGTTGTATGTTAGAGGATTCATTCCATCAATCCAACTTTTACAGGATCTGAATTCATGGATCCCGTATGTGAACATCACTCTGATCTTTTGTGTCATTTGCATTTATGGGCTTGGGCCTTGTGAGTTACTCCCTTTTTTTTTTTTTTTTACCCAACTCCTATATAAAAGATTTCTGCGCCCATACTTGACTGAGCTTCATATCTAAATAGCTTTTTAATGTTTGAATCTTCTTGCAGCTGGAGTGTCTATGGTTCTCCTTGCTGACCTCTTCCTACAAGTCTGGCGTCCTTCTGCTTACGTGGTTTGTGGGACCATCAACTGGCTCTGCATGTTTGTTATAGGGTTGCTGTTTGGCTATATTGTGGTAAGATAGCCACTGTAGATATACCATAATGTATCTCCATCTTTATATGTGTATTTACTCTATGCCACCCTGCTGTTTATCTAACAGTCTTTTTTGTGTGTATCCATACAGGATGGACTTGGACAATTCTGCTTCCTGTTTTTAATGGCTTACTCACTTGGTAGTGGAGCATTTATTATATATTTTGTCCCAGAGACCAAAGGAAAGACAATGGTAGAGATCATGGAGGACTTCAACAAACTGAATTACAAGAACAGGACAGGTGATATTGAAAACACTGATGTTGGTCTTGAAACTAAATTTTAACTTTTTTTTCCTCATGTAAGTCACCTGTAAGTTTCCTTTATGCAACCAAGTGCAGTTATTGCTTTTAGCAAAATTCTGATAATTACATACGCAAAGGGCTGATGTTACATTTGTAAATATGTACAATTAAAAATAAAACACATCTTTGATCCTGGTCTCTGCTTTTATAGTTATTCACATAAAACATCAGCAAATTATATACAGTATTAAGATTCATATAGTTTTTCATTCATTTAGTAGTTAGTTTTTTCAGTTTATCCCTTCAACTTGAATACTGTAACACAGCAATGTTTTCCTTCTTTTGATGGTAAGAAAAACCACTGAACTTACCAAAATTCTTGAATTATTAGATGAAGAAAATCACCTGGCCCCTTGTCAGGTTCAGATTACTTAATGGTACCTGTAGAAAGAGTCTATCTGCAGTATAGGTGCGTTGCCCATCCTCACATGCAGTTTGACGACAAACTCCCACAACAAATGAACAGAATACAACATAACAAAGACATAAAGCTAATATTAGCATGTCAGCTGTTCTCTTATTATAAAGGGTCAACACATCAGGTAGATTGGCACGCTTAAGCTACAGCTATCAACTTTACAAATAAACAAATAAACAAAGGTGACAGTCATGCCAAATTATTATTGAATTTATAGGGGCAGTTCATCAGTCTACTTTGAAACAAGCTTCAAGCCCACTGTCTTCTAATTTACTTTGCCTCAACAGCAGCAGGTCAAACATCCAATTTTTTTTTTTTTTTTTTTTAAAAAACATGACAAACCCACACTCCATAAATTCAGTAATTTGATTTAAAGTTACCTAGCTGTAGCTTAAGGAAAACAATATAGATCATCTAATTTTACCTTTCAGTTCAGACCCATTTTAATTAAAGTCGTTTGTCAACTTTGTTAGATTAAAACACAGGACACTACATTATTAGTTATTATCACGATCAAACAGAAGCTATGATGGTTCTCATTTTGTCAAAAAGAGTGGCACTGCGACAAAGTGGGTAATTGTTGGCACTAAAGTGATCATGTGGGTGAAATACTTCACAACAAACCAGGCGATTTAAGTGACCGTGAACACGCCACTGAGTATTTCAGAGAGATTTTCCTCACAACCACCTCTAGGGTTTTTTTTAGAGAATGGTGAAAAAAAATAATATCCAGTGAGCAGCAGTTCTCTGGGTGAAAATGCCTCGTTGATGCCAGAAGTTAGAGAAGGGCCAGACTGCTCCAAACTGATAGGAAGGCAACAGTAACTCAAACAACTGCTCATTACAAACAATGATCTCCACAAAAGCATCTCTAAATGCACACGAAAAACTGTAAGGAACTGGACTACAGCTGCAAAAGACCAAGTACGAGTAATAACAAGACAACAGTTGGGGGGGGCTTAAGTTGCAATTTATTTGATGCTCACCTCTGTACCAAGACAAGAGATGAGACTCAATAACAGAGTACAAAAACAAATATCTATAGAAAAGTAAGCTTATATTGAAATATGTCCAAAGACGTTATAACAAAACATGTAGCTCACATGTTTTAAGAGCAATCGTGTACGATGATAAAATACCAAGTGAACATATTTTACATTTGTGTTTTTATACAAAAGTGTCAATGCGAGTCACTCTGTACAATAATTAACCTATAGAAAAGAGGACCTTTTTTTTTTTTTAAATCCACTGCTGTGCACAATCAGTATTTGGAAGGCACTTCGCAACAGACAAAAAGCACAAAGCAAAAACACCCGGGCCAAAATAATACGTCATGTTTTACACTGGAGTACCAACATAAATGAAACAAATTATACATCCCTGTGGGGGAGGAAAAAAATCAAACCAACTACAAAAAAAGAAAGGTTGAATTACATCCTTACAGCATTTTACACTTGTCTTGAAATAATAATTATGACAACACAACCCTTATTACCTTTCAAAGAGTAAATACTAGTGCAGAGTGGATCAAAAAAGAAAAATCAAAAAAGGTCAGCTGGCAGCCTGAGCGCTACCGGAGCAGAGTTATAGTACAGTGAGCAGTGAAACGACTACTGCCACCAACCAGTGATCGACAATCAGTCCCCACCTCGGCTCGCATGCCAGAACATGCAGTTTACCCTTCAAATGGCCATAACTTAACATCCCTCCACAAAACAGACAAGAAAAAAAAACAAACAAAACCAACGAAAAAAAAAAAAAAAAAAATCTTTTTATGTACAGGACCACCACTTACAAACACTGATCATATTGGTTGGTTCTTTTATATATCTATATATATATATATATTTATATATATTTATAGAGGTGTATATGGAAGGTATATACACTTGTTACAATCACAATATAACTATAAATAATAAGGGAATGTACTGAATTTAACAGACTCAATTACCCACAAATAATAATTAAGCAGAAAGCAGGAAACAGATCAAACAGAAAGTCACACACAATTATACACTCTGTTTTTGTTAACAGAGAAACACACACACAGTTTGCTGCTGGACCCAGCCTGATTTGCATCATGATACACTTTTAAAGCACAACAACAAAACACCAACCAATGAAAAATGAGGTCCACATGACACTAAATCATTAAATTTAGAGCATTAAAAAGAGCAGATCCCTTTCCACAAATGTTTCAGTGCCACCTGTCGGTGTTTTCTGATTCACCACCACTACAACAAAGAGGGATGAAAGAACATTGTGAAAAACTGGGATTTGTGTTTGTCGGTAATTTAATCAATAAAGTGAATTACATCTGCAGATACATGGGTTACTTTTTATATAAATTCAAAGCATCGGCTGGTTTCAGCTTCAAAACACCGATTCTTCGGGTCTTTAACCGTCAGCCACACCGAAGATGTTGCGTTGTGCTTCAAGACACTGTAAAAGGATTTTTTTCCCCTACCCTTATAAGCACACATGAAAAGAAACAGCAGTGTTCAGAGGAATGTCTGTGAATAAACACAGTGAGACACCCAGACAGGTACTCTGTGACCATTGCGGCAAGCGCAGCACGCGGCGGCAACAACACAGCAATAGCAATCTAAGAGGAGGGAGAAGAGTAACAGGACACGAAACAATGACACATTAAAGAAAGCCAAATATGTTCTGCTGACTCACAGGTTGGTGGATCACATTGCAAATCTTTCCTCGAACCCTCTCGATGTCTGTTGCACAACACACACAAACAACAAACACGCATCTATATTTAATATAATTTAGAGTGAAAATAATCAAACTGAGCAAATCACAAGATTTTTGTTTTCACACAATGAAAGTGGGAAAAAAAGAACTACACAAAATCAAGGGCATTAATAAGTTAATAAAATATAATCTACATTTCTCAAAATATATACCGAAAATATACCTGACCTTGGTCCCTGTTTCATTTACACAACTGATTTAACACCTAAAAAAAACAAGACTGGGAAACGCTGTCCATGTAGCAGAAAAAAACCCCTCAACGCTAACAAGCTTATGACGATTCAAGACAGATTTTGCATCCAAATATGTTAAAAAGAAAAATAAAAAAAAAATCTCATAGGAAAAGCATTCAGGTACACTGTGAAGATCACAACAATAAATGGCTTCCCTCTCCTTAAATGAACATTTCACAAATAATTCAACCCAACACATAACAAAGGGCTTTTTAAGTGCTTCCTAACACCTACCAGTCCTACTCACTGGCATAAGAACTGACACTTGACACACTGGAAGCAAAAAAAAAGGAAAAGAAACAGCATGAAATGCACATCAAGCCTGTTATTAATATTTCTTCTTTAGCATTTAACAGATAAAAAAAGCCCTGCTAGCAAACTTTAAGCCAAATTAAATCTCTTTACTTAAGGAAAAAAAAAAGTCCTCTCTTAAAGGTAGTAAGGTAATGAATACAGAATTTAGCCCTCTTGTTGCTCTGAGGTAAAGACATCTGTTTAAAGACTTCAGGGGAGCGTAAGGATATAAAGCATTAAAAATTCACTGTGATGGCCATGGGTCTATTAACCAAGTACACCAGAGTAGGTGAAGTGAGCAAAAGGACAAAGATTACTTTACGTTTTAACGATGCAGTACAGAATTCATCTCAAACATGGGGATTTAACTGTGATTGGTAAATCACACATAAAAGCTGAAAGCCCTTTTCAGACGTGCGCTCCTTTGACTGAATGTCTTGGTCACTTTTCTTTAACAATTACCAAACTCGTTAGGTCAGACCTACAAGCGTTTATCCATCATGAATTCCACAAGAGAGACCTTGCTTCTAATAAGGAGTGTGGTTAATTACTCAATAACAGCAATACTTAATGCCACAAGCACAAAAATCTACTTACGGGAAACAGTGGGCTGAGTCTTTACACCAAATGGCTCTCTGTCATAGGAACATTAAAGTTAAAGTGACCCATGTCTGAATTGTCTGATTGCCATCACTTTAACAAACTGATAAATATAATCAGGGTCTGAAAAGGGCTTTAAAGAAAACAGAACTTCGACACATCCCTAGCGGTTAAAGGAAATAAAGCCTTCACGTAATTTCTTTATAAAGCAAAATGCCAGACACATACATAATCTGGAAAAGTAGAAAAGGTAGGAATTATATGGCAGTCTTTCACAAAAATATTGGATACACATTAAGCAACATGACAAAAAAAAAAAAAAAAAAAAAGTAGTCTTGAGGCAAAGATATTCCCAAATACAGAGTATCTTCTGTGGGCAACCCAGCTTTGTCCTAAGAAAAAGTGGCTTTCCTGCAACTTGTAAAGCCTCAAGCAAAAAAGGTCACTTTCCTCCAAAGTCAATTCCACTTTGACCCACCTCAGCATCCACCAGTGAAGAGGCAAAAGCTGATTGAACTATCTGAAAGCCAAAGGACTCGAGCAGAGACATGTTTTGTTGAGGGGAGAAGGGAGACGTCAGGGAAGGGGCTATATCACTCAAGCTGGACCCCGAAACGCCCTGGACCTTCTGGGCTTTGTGAACTCTGTGCTGGTGCTTGTTGAGGTAGGACTTGGTGCGGAAAGCCTGACCACAGATCCCGCAGATAAATTTCTTCTCAGGGTCTGTCTTGGCTTTAGATGCCTCTGGAGAGACCAAAGCCCCTGCAGAGGCGCCATTGCAGGGCAAAGAGGGCATCTCGAGTTCTGGTCCGTCGGTTTTGTGTGGAGATTTAAGCTCTTCGCTGTTGGACAAATCCCCGAATGAAGGATCTGATTCCTCCGATTCCAGGTGAGGACATTTACCAGCGTTTTCCTGCCCGTCTGAGGTAGATACAGCATGGACATGAAGAGAGAGGTGAGGCAAAAGAAGGGGGGGGGGGGACAAGTGGGAGAAAAAGAGAGGCATGAATTAGGCTTTAGGCTTTCTCAAAAAACATCTTTAATCCATTTGTTGGCTGGCACCTGAAAAGAAATAAAATGTAAACTTCGGGGGTCACATGAGAAAGCACCGAGCACGAGCAGAACCAGTTACGATGTCTGAAAGACATCAATAATTAAATACAGTTCTTTCCAAAATGTGGCTACAGCATTTAACTACACAGTCATCTAGCTCAGTCCATTTGCCCAGTGTCCACTGAGAATTCTGCTGTGCTCATCCAACCAATAGGCCATGCTAGCACCATGCCCCCACCCACCCTCCTGCTGGACTGTACTGACCTGTGACAGGCCCATGGACGGGGAAGCCAGGCACCCCGCCAGAGCGACACTCCCAGAAATATGGAGCCCCACCTGGCTTCCCCATGAGCAGCTCAGGCTGCAAGCAGAGGGTTGAATGGCCAGGCTGGGGAAGAACTGGGTGTCCAGAGAGCCCATGAAAGCGCCCCTCTGCCTCAGACGAGGTGAGAAGCAGCTGGCGACTGGCGCACAGGTCTACACAGCACCCAGCCAGGGAGAAAGGAAGGGGGAGGGACAGATATAACAGGCCGGTGGAAACCATACGGACAAAAATACCTTTACTTCATCACTAGTGTTAATGCTGTTTGTACACAGTATACTAGACATGTACAGTACTGCAAATGAGCCCATGCTGAGTGAGTCCCTTCACTAAAGCTGGCGGTGATGAATGAATTAACCTTTTCCTCGGCTCACAGTCAACAAACAATAAATCCCTGGCTGCCTGACTGCTTTAATCAAACTGTGCCATTTCATTATAATCCTTGCTGAAACTTGATTTGTTAAACACAGGTGCAATTAAAAAAAACTACATGCTGAACTTTGATTGCATATGCTGGCTCACTAAAACAGCTAAAGAACGGAGCCAGCAATTAATGTCACCAGATGCACCTGCAAATCCAGCTGCATCTTGTCACAATTCCCCCCCAGGGAGAGAAGTGTAACGTTCACACGTCTCACTGGTCCTGTGACACGAAGTGAAGGTTACAGGTAAAAGAACAAAAAAAGAAGTAGAGAAGAAGGAGGAGAAAAAAAAAAAAAAAAAAGCATTCGCTGTCAAAATAAAAGATGCACACCAGATAAGAAGTTGCAACGTGCGTTTGCGCACATAAAATTTTCTGGAGGACAGACATTTGTTTGGAACTCTTAAAGATGTCGAAGAAGCTCCTTTAAGCAATTACTTTGGTGTTCCTCCACCTCCAAAGAAATGTCAGAAGGAGTCCGAACCGCAAAAGAAGCGCGTATTCTCGGAAAAGTGGTTGCAGGAGGTGAGCTGGCTTCAAACAAATGATGAACGCACAGAGCTCTAGCGGACAAAAACAGTGCCTTTTATAAGTACGCGAACGCACGTTGCAACTTCTTATCTGGTGCGCAGCGCGTCTTTTATTTTGACAGCAAATGCGCACCTGCGGACCACTTATGTGCACCCCTGTGTGTAACTGTATTTCCCTGTATTTAAGTTTTACAGCCTTTTCTGCTGATGAAAACCTCCCGCATTCATTCTATACTGAAGTTGTGAAGAACTAGAGAAATTGAAAAGTTCATGTCTTCCTATTATGGATTATTGAAATTTCTAGGTTTTTTTGTTTTGTTTAAAACAACAACAACAACAAAACCCAAAAAACCTTGTTTATAAATAAAGGACAGTCTGGGCAAATACCTAACAGAACTTGTTCTTTAATTTTACACATTTAGCAAGTAGAAAAACTGAGACCTACAGTCGAAACTGCACTTCTCCATATTATATGTTAATACCTAATTGCTTAAATGTTTAAATGTCTTTACACCGACAGAAAGGAGAGTTTTGCTGGTCCAGTACACTTAAAGATCAAATTGGCTGTATGTGGCCTATGAGGTAAAACAAGTTTAACTTATCTGGTATAAACATGCTTTTTTTTGTGTCATTTCAACAGAAGCTCACTTTCCTTTATAAGGTTCAGAAGTTTAAAAAAAGAAAGAAGACCAGCTATCCCCCAAACTAGATCCTGACCAATATTATCAGTTAATATTGTCCAATCACAGATATATAATCAATAACGGTGGACAACTTTTCAGATATATATATGGAAAGCTTCTTTTAATGAAATATAGTAAATATAGTGCTGCAAGTTTGTGACATATATTGCTGGAAAAAAAAATAAAAAATTTTAAGTAAGAACATCATTTTCCCTTTTTAGTATCAGAGCTTAATATATAGTGTAGTAATAATGCTTTCTAATAGCTCTTTGACTAAAAGGTATGCATTTTCTGAGAAGATGGTTTGAAGTTGCTATTATAATTGTGACTGCTGCACTTAATTTTACAAATGCCACATATAATTTCAAAGCATCCTGCAGTGGTTCTTGGGATTCTCATGCTTAATTTGCACCTGTGACAGGTAAGAGGTGTGAATTTTAGAACCCTGTTGATGTTTCCACTGACATATTAGGTGTAGTTGTTAATGTAATCCATTATTTTAAAAGCCCAAGTCATTAAATTGTAAATCAACAGAAGACAGCATTTTCTTTGATATTACATTTAACCACTTGTGGGTTCGGTTCACAGTTTCTCCAACAGAAATGGCACAACTACGGAAATTTCAATGAATCCAGGGCAAATGGAGCACACGTTAGGACGATCATGCAACACTGTGCATAGCCCAACAACAGTTGATGAACCAGCCAAGCAGATACAGACACTGTTAACCATACGGCCATGGCCATGCTGGACAGACACACGTGTACAAATAAAAGAAATGTGAATTAGTATGCGACCTGCTAACATGGTTGAGAGTAAAAAAAAAAAAAAAATGGTCAGCTTAAGAATTACCAAAAAAAAAAAAAAAAAAAAAAAGGATCTTCAGTTATTCCAAGTGGCAACAGGAATATGTAGGCAGTTTTCAAAACAAAACAGGGTTTAAAAGAATAGTTGTACGTACACATCACATTAGAAATAAAACCAAAAGTTTGAGATGAGTCCAGGATGTTAAAAGATAAATTAGTTCTCCAACTACCAAACAGATTTAACGCTCTAGGGTGTGACAATAGTTTCCCGCAGCCCTACCACCCCGACCTTTGGCATGAGTCACGAAGCTGGCCTGAGCTCACTGGCATTTCCAGCTTTTTATGTAACACTGACCGCATGCCTAATTAACCTGGGTATCATTAATAAAAAAATAAAATAAAAAAATTGGTGCCACAGTTAGAGAATAATTACAGCAACTGTTGTCACAGAGACGTGCAATACTTGACAAATGAAGGTGCAATAGTAAATGTTTCAGCAAAAAGCTTGGAAGCAGGAGCTGATGTATGCGTGTGTTAACATATACAGAGATGCAGCAGCATATTTCTCCCCCCCCCCCAAAGAAAATAAATAAATAAACGGCCGCAGAACAAATGAAAGCCAGAAACATGAAAGTTTGGGATGGGGCGGGCGGCTGCTTGCCTTCCACTGAGCACTGGCGTCCCATGTGGTAAGGGTTGCCGTTGTGCATCTGCAGTTCCCCCCTTGGCTCAGGGAAGGTGTGCATTGTGGCAGAGGGGGGCAGTGGAGAACCGTGGTGTGTCTTTATATGCACCTTAAGGTAGGATGCGGTGGAGAAACCTGGGACCAAAGGAACAAAGAAGAAGGAAGTTGCTTGACACACTGACATCCCCGCCTGTGAGAGAGGTGTCCTGAAACAAAGGCGTGCTGTTCGAGTTTGCTCCCACTCCATGATTCATTTCTGGATGTGTGGTGAACTGAGAATTGTACTGCTCCAATGTCAAACAACAGAGCTTCAAACAGTTTTTTTTGTATTGTCTGGACTTGTAAAAATAAAGACAACATAATAATACTACAGTTTAACTAAGCCCCTGGGAGGAGAAAGGGCTTTTCCCATGGATCACAGTTCTTACAGATGGAATGACTCCTTTAAAAACACACTGAAATCAGTCTAAATATAATTAGATTTCTCCAATAAATTTTCAACAGTACTGAAGACACACGTCAGAACAGTAAATAATCAGGTCAGCCAGAGGAGTCCAACCTGCATGATCACTACGGGCCTGTTAGAGACTCTACTGAGTCCCACTCTCTGTAAAGGCCTAAAGATGCAAAAACCAGACACGTGAAGAAACCTTCAACATGTATGACTGAGACTGTAAGCACCATATGAAATTCAATGTTCAGACATGCAATTGCAAAAAACTAAAATCTGAACCCTCAGCAATTTCCAGGATACCTGAAATGACAGTCGTGACTTTAGTAGATCATTATAGCAACTTTTGCTGAACACCTGATCAGGACAAGGTTATGTTCAGAGTTTTGATTTAAAATCGACTGCAAGAGTAATTTTTTTATCATTTCTTTTATTTAAACAAATATGCTCCAAGTGTGACACACGCACACATCTGCTGAAGAACTGCATTTCATACATGCAACATGTTGAGCTGCACATGACTAATAACACTAAAGGAAGCCGTGAAGTTACAGCAACCCAAACTGTATGCGTCACCATTGTTGCAGGACTTTGCATGCATTCAGTTGGAGATGTCGAAAATGTGAAAACATGCCCTTTATGTTTGGTCCCCAACCAGCTGCCAAGTCAGTTTTACAATACTGGAACCGCAGCTAATAAAACAAACTGACCAGTTCACTAATTTAGTCACAGGCTCTTAATCACCAGGAATAATCGAGTGATAAAACCCACTTTGTTTTGATCTGGCCACATCTCGCATCAGGCTGTGAAAAAGTATGAGGCGTGAATGCACAGAGTAGTCTTTAATATTTAAGTGCGTCGAGCTTAGTTTCACACCAGTTCTGTGCTGCTGTCGCATTAGAAATGAACTGCGTCGCTGAGAGCGCACGGACCGCTTAAATAAGATCAAACAGATCACACATTTTTTGGCAGCATTGCCAAATTCCCTCATTTGCAGCAGAGTGGACTTCCAAACTTTTTTATATTCTTTATCACCCATTTATCTGACAGTGCCTTCGACTGATATGAAATGATGCATCAAACACCCTCTTATACGAGTGCACGGCCTGGAGCAGAAAGTTGGTCAGCACTGTTCTGAAACCCCCCCCAAGTCTGAGATCAAGTTTTAGGTTTTTCAATCTAGCTGATGATAAGAAAAACTCGCTTACTTAACTGGAATTACAGTACGCACCTCTGGGCTGTGAGTGATTACTGAAGCCTCCCCAATATAGGATTTTTAGGACAGAGAGATATTTGGCGATTTAAAAATCTGATATTCCAATATGCTGGCTGATATTCCTTCTTTTTTTTAGACAAACGGATTTTGCCCAACAGTTATAGTTGCTGCTGTTGTTATCAGGGAACATTCAGAGTAATGGAGGAACAACTGATGGACGTTTTTCCCCACTTGTCTTCTTATTTCCATTTATTCACCATTATAAATGCTGATACTGGATGATAATATTGGGCCACCAATAAATCGGTCAGGCTTGTTTGTAAATCAGACTGATCTGTCTATGACTGTGATTCAGATGAAGATCACAGCAGATTTTATGGATAATCAACAGAGAAAAATTTGAGATGTAATTTTACATCCATGTAGTGAAGTTAATCTTCACAAACAGATTCACTGCCAGATTATGTTATTCAACTTCAACCCACAAGCTACAAGAGCAACCAACTACAAAAAACAACTAAAATCTATCTTATATAATCAAAATCTTACTTTGAAATATCACAAGATCACAAGGCAGTACATCAACCATAACTCTAGACTCGTGTCTTATTTTTCCTAAAAGCACATTTACCAATATATCAAATAATATCAGTCTGTATATTGTGAACATCCAGGACGTCAGCACCCTCTGGATATTGATCAAGATAGGGGGTAGAGAGGTTTCAGATTTCAAACCCGAGTACAACACTGTTTTGTTTTTTGAAGGAATTACCTTTGTTGCAAATGCCACAGTAGTTATGAGTTCCTTCACTGTGTTTCTTGAGATGGTCTGTCATGTAGGCAGCTCGCAGGAACTTGCCGCAAACTTTGCAGGGGATTTTGTCCTCGTGGCATGCAAGGTGAGAACGGAGACGATCTCTTGTGGCAAAAGAGGCATTACAAATCTGAAAGACAGAAATCACTGAGCTAATGCCTCTCACAGTAGAAAAAAAAAAGAAATTCATTATATGCGGCTATTCACTAAGTAAGACAGACATATTGATCCTACCTGGCACTTGTGGGGTCTCTCTGTTGTGTGTACTTGTTTGATATGTCCATTCAGGTGGTCTGGTCTGAAAGAAAACAGTGCAAATTAAAGTCTGTGCATCATGAACTGGTATGCCTGAAATCAGAACTCCCTGTTAACCTGTATGGAACTCTGTATATTAGTATTATATTAATTTCTCAATTGCATGAAAATCAATCACGAGAAGGAAGCTACTCAAATTAATTACATTCATTCATGTCTCAGAGAGCTGTCCTCCCACAGTGTGCAAGCTGGCAACGAGGTACAGGTGAGCTGTATGACATTAATATAACAAAGGAGTCCTTAAGAGGCTCCTTTGTTTTAAAAACAAAATAATCAAATCAAGGCTGAAGGTAAAGCAGCCTTTTCCTCAAAAGAGGGTTTACTAATAACATTAACAGTGTCACTGTTCTATTGAGGGGCTCTAGGAAGCCAGACTGGTGACCCTGTATGTTCACCAACCTGAAGCCAAAGTAGCTTAAGAGAAAACATAAAAGTATGTCTTCACAAAGGCGGCCAGTAAGAACTCTTCAGTCATACCTGTGCTGAGACACACAAGATTATTGGAAAATTTGTGGAGAAAAAAAAAAAAAAACTGCTGCTTTCTTCATCATGTCAGAAACATTAACCTCCAAAGCAGTAGGTGGAGGCAGTGAGCTAAAACCCAACCTTCAACTGGTTTGAGTATCTGAAAACAAAACATAGTGGTGATACTTTAACGATTACTTACACTGGTTATCCTGAATTTGACAGCTGTGGCAGGACGCATAGTGGGAGGTAAAGTAGTGATAATGTTATATGAAAGGTGCATGCATGGCTGCACGGCAAAGGTTAGAAACCATGGACAAGATCCTTAGCTGTTGGAATGATGGTGGCGTCTGTGCATCTCTAAAAGCTGCTTTGACTGTTAAATATAGAAGCACTCACTTGATACCGTCACATAATGGACTAAATTACATGTGCTGATTTACACATGTACCTTTAATTATATTAAGGAACAACAAAGCACATTTCTGTCTGGGATGATCTGGAAATTTAGGGCATTAAGACCCAGTAACAGCACTGTGTGTGGTTTTTGTTTTGTTTTTTACAACTCCCAACAGATTCTGACCAATTATTATTATTATTATCGTCATCATTATTTATACATCTCATTCAACTCACCTTGAAAACCCTTTACCGCAGCTTTGGCACACATAGGGTTTGCCAACTGAGCCGTCGTGGGAGCGCACATGGTACGACATCCTGTCCTTGCGTTTGAACCGGAGCCCGCACACATGGCAGGCGTATGGCTTCTCCCCGGAGTGGGAGAGCTTGTGTCGGTTCAGGTGGTACACGTCGCGGAAAACTTTCCCGCAAATGTCACAGCCGACGTGCCGCCTGGTCCTCTCTCTCTTGCGGCCGTTGTCCAAGGCGAGGCCTCCGTGTAACTGCACGCCGTTTTCCAGCAGCCCGGGCTGAGATAGAAGAGAAATTCCGGCCGGGGCTGACAGGCTGTCGCTGAGGTTGTTTACAGCCCCGCTGGACGCTCCGTGCTGCGCTTCGTGGTTCTTCAAGCGGGAAGCCTCGGTGAAAGCTTTGCCACAGGTCCCACAGGGAAACAGTCCGTTGTCTTTCTGGGGGCTGTTGTTAAAGTGAACAGCCTCCACGGCTCCGCCAGCTTTCTTTGGTCTCCCCCTGCACCGTTTCGACCCCGGGGAGCCAGCGTCGTGAGGAAACGCGTTCCCCGTTATTTCCGCGGATGGGGAGACTGGCAGTCCCTCAACGGGCTCCAACATTGGCACCGACGACTCGCCGCCGTCCTCCAGAATCGCGGCCGCGTCTTCACCTCCGTCCACATGCATCTGCATGCTGTTAGCAAAGCTCTGACCGTTCACCAGCATTCCCGATCCGTTTACCAGACCCTGGTGAGCCACCGGGAAACCGAGCTCCGTGGCCCCCGTGGCCTGGAATAGACTGGCATCTCCTCCCCGAGAGGTCGGGACGAGGATTTGTACGTTGGACTGTTTGATAACCTCCTGACATATTTCAATAACCGAGCGCATCAAAAGAAATTTGGCAGCTGTCATCAACTCCGGGAAGCACTCCAGTCGGACCACGATCCTAGACGTGTACGCGAAGTCCAGGATGTCTTTAAAAACTTTCGGGCTGATCGTATGCATCTCCAGCTCCTTGGCGTCGCCGTCGCCCTCAGTCTGACGGCTGAAGACCGACTCGAAGTACTCGCTGCAGGCGGCTAATACTGCTTTATGGGCAGGAAAGCTTTCCTCGCCGACGCGCAGGATCACATCGCAGAACCTGCCTCCATCTTTCCTCTGAATGTTGAGGTTGTGTAGCATCTCCGCACTGTGCTTGCTCACCTGGTAGGTGTACGAAGAAGTCCAAGACGGCTCTGCTACTTTCTCCATGCCGAATTCATCCAATAACAATGGTTGTTGGCGACAAAGGTCGGAGAAATGGCAGATTATGCGTGAGGATTTCGATCAACCGAAAGCAGCTAGCTACAAAATCCAAAACCAGCCGCCCCTCCCGTCGTTTTAGCATCTAACGTTAAAGGCTAGCAGTAGCAGCAGCAGGGAAAAATGGCAGCCCCCCAGCTTCCTGTGAACTTTGACCCTGCTTTCTTCAGGGTGGGGGTCGCTCGCTTTGTAGTAATAAAAAATATATATCGATATCAGTGCTTTGACAGTGAATGTGTATTTTATTTTTCTCTGGTGGGATCGGCGCTGCAGCAGTACTCCGGCACTGCAGAGGTCTTTCATTTCTTCATGCCTTATGTTTGTACGCAGGTCTCTTCCTGCCTGCTGTCTGTGAAAACCCCTCCCCCAACCAGCCAACCACAACCCCCTCCTCCCGTCACTCTTTATGAACGCTGTCTGTGAGCCTATTCAAAACACATGCAGAGCTACTCTACCAGAGACTGGGAGCGCCTCACCTTCTGCTCCAGGATGCTCGGCAGAGAGTTTCCTCGGTCTGTTTACCAGTTTTAGAAATTGGGGGGGGGGGGGTTATTATTCCTCAAGTGGAAAAAAATCACTAAATTACAGAGGTTGTCCACTCATCTGCTGACACCGAACACTGCAGGTTTCACATGTTTAGGTTTTCCCAGCTTGTTTATGGCAGCGGAACCCAATCTACATTTGATTTTGGAGGTAGAACCAAAGCTCTGATAGAACTGATGACACATTAGGAAAATCTTGAACCTCTCACCTCTACCGTGAAGGAATTTGACATTTTAGAATTGATTTCATGCTATTCCCCCCCGAAAATGACAATTCTATTTACCACAACTCACTGGGCCACTTCAATAGTTACACTTTGCTAGAACCAGATTGGACCCCTTTTACTTGTAGAATAGCCATAATTATTCATAACAGACTTCAACAAGGTGCAGGAAACAGATGTTGGGTCATCATGCACCACGTAGTTGCTGCAGATGGACATCCATGATGTTGGAGCTGGTGACTGAGTCCATTAGAGTAACATGGCAGTGATTCTGGTGTAAAGTTTGAGAATGAGCTTTGTGTATATCATCCTGCTGGAAGCGGCCATCAGAGCAGAGCATCAGTGGTCTATAAAGGGATGGACATCAGGAAGAATACTTGTGTAAGAAGGCCCAAGTAGATCAGCAGTTTCTGAAATGTTCAGTGCAGCCCATTTAGCATGACATGTTCAAAGTTCAACCCCAATCTGATGCTCAATTTAAACTTCAGGTGATCTTCTTGATTACAGCTACATGTCCAAATTAGGGTGTTGCCATGTGATTGAAACCAGTATCTAATCAGACAGCAGCTGAATAAATGTACTGAAATTGTGTTTGAATTACGAGTTCGTGACCCTTAGCCATGTTAAGGTGAACAAAAACAAACATCTCAGACCAGTGTAAAGTACTGCTTCTGAATTAGACTCAAAATAAAACAATTATTTTCTGTTTCACAAAAGTACAAGTTACTGCAACCATGTGTCTTGTTAGTGTGGAAAGTTTGACAACTGAACTCTTAGTGGCAGGTGTAAGCATTCAACCACGTAAACATTTAATTGCACTAAAGAGGAAATACAAAAATGTTTAATCAAGATTTTATTTATTAATTCTATTTGTGCTTTTTATAACTTAATAGCACACAAACTGAATCCCAACCACCCTCAAAAAAAAAAAGAAAAAAAAAAAAAAATGACTGCGAGCAGTGCTGCCCCCATTAGTGACCAGTAGGATTGGAGAGGATACAGTTCAAAAAAAGAAAAAAACCCCACAAAGGCACAAACAGCTTGCTGCATCCCTCAGAGGCATCTTTAATGCTCCACTTCTATAGGAAAGGGCCACCATCTATGCCATGAAAGGGAAGATGTATGCGCCAAAATTATGCCAACATTTTTCACCGTGTGACCCTCTCAGTATGATTCAGGTGATGCAAGATTATGTGGCTGCGACGCGACAAAGGAATGCTACTAGCTTTTGCTGACTTTGTCGCAGTTTTCAGTCGAACTGCAAGATTGGTACAGCTCCCCTTTACTAAGAAAACGGGGGGGGGGAACAAAACAAAAAAAACACCTTATCTATATACACTGAGAATAACATTTTTTTCCCATGGTCTGTACAATTGGGCCTATACATTATTTACGGTGCAGTCTCGTACAAAAAAATATATATTCACTCAGCTGGCAAAACGGATCTCCATCACTTGCCTCTTCAAAAGCAGTAACTTCAATACTGAAGTTAAAGCATGGTTTAGTTACATCATCCTGTTCTGTGCACTGTCTTTCAAATTAAAGTTCACATTTTCACAGTAAACAAGTGGAGATGGACAAAGAGGGGGGGAAAAATGAAAAAAAAAAACAGAAAGAAAAAATTCCAGCACAGTGTTTATTTTCTTATGGCCGGAACTCTAATTCATCTACACTTATGACCTTGGCTGGCATAGAGGGGAGTGGCTGCTCTAGTACATCTGATCCAAACCACTTGGCGAGGCCTAGAGGGGGGCTGCCGCCGTGTCGCTGGGAGCCATTCGTCCGGTGGGGGCCTTGGCTCTGTGACTGCGTGCCAGGGGCACTGGGATGTACTGTAAGACAAAAGTATTCAATCGACAAGTCTTCAAACAAGATAATTAAATACACCACATTTTAATAACATTTGTGAGGATAATTCTGCCATAGCCACATAGTCCCACTGAATTTGAATATTTGAAATTTTCCTCCACTCACTTGGTCGTTGCTGTTGTTGAAGTTGCTGTTGCATTGCTGCCAACTGCATTTGAGTACTGGCTCTGGAAGGTAGAAGTGGATGCCCAGTTGTACTTAGTGGGTACAGTGGTTGTCCAAGCAGGGCAGGAGGCAAGCCTTGAAGTTGTGCAAGGTCATGTGGCGGAAATATACCTTGAGAGTACAATTAAAGATCAGAAACAATTAGGTTTAATGTTCAGAACACTTTAATACAGTTTTTAGTGTTTTTATAAAGCAAAAGGATTTGAAAAAAAAAAAGCCAGCAACCTGCTTGCACAAGAGCAGGTCCTAACTGCTGGGGCTGGATACCCTGTGCCAGCATACGTTGCACCACAGGGTGGAGCTGGGGAGGAGGGCGCACCATAGGTACGTGGGATAGCAGCGGTACTGGGTAGACAGGACGAGGGAAAGATGAGGATGGTCCTTGAGGTACCATGGCAGGTGGATGGTGTCCAGTAGAGCCAGGCCTGAGGCGCTCTTGTTCTTTGCTAGACAACGTCTGTGAGCTGGTCTTTACTCCCCCTGACTGAGCTACATTACCATCCACTGCTTCCAGGTATAGATTTGGGGAGCTGCTGCCTGTAATCATACAACCGAGATCTCAGTGTTACAGGGTATGTGTTCACTCACAGGTATGAAAGTGAAAGTTAAATATCAAACTAGTTCTGGGTACCGTATTTTTCGGACCATAAGGCGCACCGGATTACTAAGCGAAACAAAACAGTCAGATAAGTCAAATTTTACTCGACTCATTCTTCTTGCTTCCTCCACTTCTTTACCATTGATTCATTAATATTGAATTCTCTCGCAGCTGCTCCATTCCCATGTTGTTGCAGTATATTAATGACTAACCTCATAATGTGGATGGATTATCTCAGTTGTTCTGACAGAAATTTACAGCATCCTGCCATGCAATTGCATTTGTCCCCAACCATCAAGAACCCTCATGTTAACTTTTATTGAGTGGAAAAAAGTTAGCATTCATCCTCCAGCTTCACTGTGTTCATGTTATGCTAACATAGCTATGTCACTAGCAATCATGTAGCACATCATATACCAGCTAGCCCAACTTCAGTAACCCTACAAATGCTACTGTTTAGTTTTCAGTCTTCATTTCAGTCAGAACATGGTACATCATGTTTAGGTGGAAACTAGCGAGCTAACTTCCTGCTAACTTCTAACTTTTAAATTTAATAAAAAATTCTGTTTTCATGGATGCCTGGATGTTAAACTTAATTGTTACACCTGGTGAAGCAGCAACACTGATCATTTTGCAAAAGGTGAAAGAACAGTTTTTAACTCTCAGTGATGCCGCAGTGTTTTGGACCTAAAGAGGACTTTGTTTTGGGCCCAGATTACTCCGTGAGGCTCCTGACTGGTAGCTGTAATGCTCCGACAATCCATCAAGCGGTCCGGCTTCGTAGCTTACCAAAGTTGTACTAAAACATTTGACAGATTTTTGTGCGCCGTATACCACATAAAATTGGTTCGAGGTAAGTAAGCACAACCAGCATTCATACATAAAGTGCACTGGATTATATGTCGATTTTGAGAAAATTGAAGGATTTTAAGTGCGCCTTCTAGTCCGGAAAATACGGTAAATTAATACTGCACCATCGTGAGAATGTGCTGCCGAGTCGTCCTTTGTCTCTGAGCGATTTGAAGGTTCATCTTTGCTCTTCTCTTTTGTTGCGTACATTTTGCGGATCACAGATGTGGGTGTAAATGAAGGGGACAACTGACATAGGCAGGGGAGGAAGAAAAGAAAGAAGTTCATACTAGCAATAACAACAGGTGCATGAATTAGAAATAAGTCAAAACAACTTTAAAAACAACACTGGGAAGAAGTTTGCAGAGTTACGTTTATGCTTACCATACTGGTGACAGTACTTCCTGGAGAGTTTCTTCCAGCAGGCTGAGAGCCTGGTCCAGGGGAACGATTAAGACGCTGCGGTCTGGACAAAAAACAAAAACCAAACACACTCAGCCATACAAATTCCAAACAACATTATTTATCATCCTTGGAGGCATACATTATATTACCACATATTAAGCCAGTATATTCTTCAGCTTTGTTTATAAAGAAAGTATTTGTTTTGTAAAAAGCAGTCAATAGACTTCAATAAGACACATTAAAGTGCATGTCACTCAATTTGCTGAAATTGACTGATATCATAACCATTTAAAGTCTCTATAGCATGTGGTATTTAAACACGATTAAAGCAAAAACAAACCTATTTCGGAAAGACTTGTCTTGTGGTTGTTTGTAGCCAGATTGGAATTGGTGGTGGGCATGGAGAGCAAGATCCTGCTGGAATGCCAGTGCTTCCAAGTCTGCTTGGTTAATAGGAATAGAGAGCGCCCTCATCTGGAAAGACAAGGTAGACCCAACCCAACTCATCAAAAGTCAAAGTTTTAGCTCAAAGGCCTATAAATGTAATTTTTACTCCATGATGCTACTACTATCAATATAACTGTTATAAGCAACATGTATCACAACATATACATTATAATATTTAAGCAGTAGTTTACTGAAAGCATATTTAACTATTTACATATGAACCAAACAAACCGCATGAAATCTCATCTCAGTAACCTGTTGCTG